TGCAGCCCCTACAGCTTTGTGAGGGTGCCAGCTGAGACTCTTCGCGCCCTTTAGCATCTACAACAATCACTTCCGACTCCCGGCCTTTTTATCTGTGGTTTTTACACCCAGATCCCTCTGCTAATCCGTTTTACAGCAGAGCCCACACACAGTGGAGTTGACGTGCCCAAGGAGATGGAAAAATGGCAAGAGGATGGAAATGAGCACCAGGAGAAGGTGCAGCTGCAAAAAGGTCTTGTCTCTCTGTAAATAGCATCCAGTGAAACTTTGCATCCCACTCGAGCCTTTCCACAAGGTGATGTGTGCCTGTGACTACGAGACAGGTGACAGTGCCTTCATCTTCCTACACAAGAATTTTAACTTTCCTCTTCCAAAAGGAGGACTAGTAATTGCAACCATCACTTGCTGTGTATATGGCTTATTATTTCAGCTTCTCTCATCATTCTGTTGTAGCCCCAAACACTTCAAGCCCCAAGACTTCAAAGGACCTGTCCTGCTCTGAAGTAAAAATAATTTTAAAAATCATCTTCCCCTAGTACTTTGTATGTATATACATATAATACTTACACAATATTTTTTGTCTGTTAGGAAATTTCTGCAGCACCAACCTGATTCTCACCCAAAGTTTTTTCTATCCCTCACTTTAGAAACTTTCCACAACTATGTTCCCAGTTCTGCAAGGCAGCTATATGGAAATCATATCCTGCAATTACCTTCTTAATTGTTCTTCTAAGTTTTAGTTTTGTGGCTGAAATCAGAGACAGGCTTTCCCTGAAGAATACTGTAGATGAAAGTTCATGTTTCCTTATTTTAAATTTTGTGCCAATGCATTTACATGCAGTTGTAGAAAGTATGCAAGACTGTGTTTTAGTACAAAAGCTGAGTAGAAGCAAAGTATTTCAGAAAGATCAAAACATAACATTCTGATTTTTTTGAAAAGATGTATTTTTTAGTAATTTTGGAACACATTTCAAGAGGGCTTACATTACAAAGAGCTTTGGAAGTTTTTAAAGATCAAGATCAAACTGAAACACAGATTTTGTTCAAAATTATACCTTTTGTTTGAATCAAAACTGGTTTCCCCACATTTTACTGTGGAAAGTTTTCATTCCATTTCAGAAGGAAAAAAAAATTCTCAGAATTCCAGCTTTCTCTTAAATGGAAAACCTGGTTTCTACCCACCTTCACCCTGAGTTCTTTATGCAGACCAGGGTTGTGAGAGGACACCCTGGAAAGTGTATCAAGAAGGGTTTCTGCCCTTGTAGGATTATGGAATTACAAGTTTCCTCTTTCAAAATTCCTCCTTTGGCTTTATATTGTAGAGCCTTTTCATTTTCACAACAGCAGTTCCTCGTATTTCTGTGACTTAAAGGTGAGTTTACTCAGCTCTGGTTTGGATAATGTGCACAACTCAAACTCTTCCCCTTGTGAATCCCTAGAACGTGTGGAAATACTTTGGACTTGGAGCATATAAATTGCCTAATTCTCTCATATTTGTGAACAATTTACTCATTAAAACTTCTGAAGTTTAACAGCGCTGTCAAGCGTTCACAGAATTCTTGGTGTTAATGGAAAAACTGGTGTTGAAATGAACAATGGCTTGTTTTATGAAAATTACATGTTCAGACTGGAGAAAAAGTAAGTTCTTACTGATGGATCAGTACAGCTGAGGGAATGTGTAGAGGTAAAGATGCAATGCCCCTTGCCTTATAACTTCTGGAGTGTTACATAAAGAGGTGTAACTAGACCAACGTAATACAAATCAACACTGCAAAAATATGTCTGTATGGCACATTAACTGTAGCAACATCAGGTTTTCATATATTGCAGCAAGATACAAGTTTTAAATTAAGTTCTGTAGCTTCTCTGAGTTTTGTCTCCCTTTTCTGATTTTTAATTTGCAAGTTCAGGGCCAACTTGACTCTGAATAAAATAAAAAGATCAATAAAAAAAATCTCTTTTTATTACATATCCCAGGCAACTTGGTGATTTGGCTTTGCACAAATCCTCTGTAAGTCAGGTAATGTTTCTTCTTTCCCTTTCCTTTCCTTCTCCTGTTTCTTAGTTTTGCCCAGGCCAAGGATTCTGCTCTGTACCTCAGGAGTTTAAGGTAGTAATTCAGTGATAACTTGAAGTGTATCTCTATGGTGGAGCACATCACAGAGAACTTAACAAGAAAAAAAGGCTGACAGCACAATAATGTTCAGACTGGCAAACTGAGCTCTGAGAGCAGTAAAACTGCACTCAAACAGCTTTTCTTCTAGAGGGATTCAGGATACTGAAGTGGGTCTGGAGAAAATGTGCAGCCTGTAAAAAGGAATGCAAAAAGATATGTGGATAAACATCACGTTGAGGAGCAGACTCAGCATGACTTTTCTGAAAGGAAATCCTGACCTGCCCATCTAGAAACTTCTTTGAAGGATTCAATGAGTGTGCAGGCAGGAGAGGTCCAGTGGGTACAATCTGCTTGAATTTCCAAAGGACTTGACAAAGTCCCTTACCAAAAGCTCGTAGAAAATAAGCTCCCACAAGAAAGGTGCTTTTAGGGTTGCTCTCATTAATGGGTTTAAAGATAAGAAACAGAAGAGAGAGCTGAGAAAATGAGAAATGGAGTGAAATAGAGAAAGGACAAAGTTGCCTATGAGATTAAAGCCTTCAAGGAAAGGTTGTTAAGCAATTTAGCCAAAATAGAGCTATTTGCAGAAGGACCTTGTGGAATTGAGTACACAGTTGTCAAAAAAGCATATAAAAATGCCTGTAAGTATAAAATTATGCACATGGAAAAAAAAAAAAAGCTAAATTTATATAAACAAGGGTTATGAATGACCTGTTACCTAGAAACATTGGAATTAAATAGTTTGTAAATACATCAGTTCAGTTTAGTGCTCAGGAACAGTCAAATTAGGAAACAGAACTATAAGCACTATGAAAAGAAATGTGGGGGGAGGAGGCAAATTAGAAGTAAATATGGTGACCTGCATTTTGAGAGTTTTGTGTACTTTTATGTCCCCATCCTAAATCAAGGACGATGAAGGTTACTGAACTGTTTTATAATAAACAAAAAAGGATGAAGGTCATTCAGACTCAGCCATCAGACAGAGGATTCAACAGTAGTCTGTAAAATAACAAATGACATAGAGGGGGGTGAACTGATCTTTGTGTTTACAGTCTCACAGTATCAGAAAAATGGAGAATGATGTGAAACTTTCAAGTGGCAAGTTCAAAACAAAGAAAAAGTTATGTGTTCTTCCTCAGAATAGAGCTAAATTGTGGAACTCATGAGCACAAGATCTTATAGATACCAAATTTTACATGGCTTCAAGGAACAAATTAATAGACAAAAGTCCGTGAGGAACTGTCAAGCCCAGAGAATTCATCTTTCAGGAAGCTGCTGTGGTACAAATCCCTTGAGGCTAAAAGAGCATATCAGAAAAGTGCCCCTACGTGCTTATTCTTTTCTTGAAACTCTTCTCTAGGCATCATTATTGTCTACTGCCAGAGACAGGGTATTGAATTAAATGGCCCCTTGGGCTGACCCAGCATGGTTATTCCTACATTATGATTGAAATCTGAAGATATCTCATTGTGAACAGATTGAATTGCTCACATGAGCACTGAGTAATAGTGCCCCTGATTATTAATTGTATCCATCTGATGCTTCTTTGCTGCCTTCTTTGCCTCCTGTTTTTTGCTCCCCCTTTCTTCTCTCCTAAATAGCCACTAAAACATCACCATTCACGTGAACTTGTGTTTTGGGTAGCGTAGTTTACCTGTGTTTCTTTGAAATCCAAAACACTTGTAAATCCATTAAATGTCACTTTCTTGCCTGGCTGAAGAGTGGCAGGAACAAAAATCTGCTTATACTTATGTAACCGGTCTCTGGCACTATACAAGAGAGAATAATTCATGTACATCCTGCAAAGCAGAACTTGGCACTGCTGACACAGTAGCAGTGAGATGAAACAGCTTTCTACAACTACTCTCAAGCAGATCAGAAGGGAAAAACCTTTACAAAAACAGTAGTAAAGGAAGAACAGACTCAAACGTAAAATCAGTTATGATGAAAGCAATAAGCACTTTGTGAACATTACACCGTGGTTACAGTGGGATTTTCTCTTAAAAATTAATGATTTTATTGTATTATTACTGTGCACTTTCACTGGCAGCAGCATGGGTAGAACTAACAGAGTAGACCAGCCTCTGATGTTTATTCTTCTGTCTTCAGGTGCCGGTCACCTGCCTGGCAGGTACCTGCACACAGAAATCAGCGGTAGGGGCTCGGTGTTGGCCAGCCGGGATGTGGAGAGCTGTGAAGGTGCTGCCCAGCAGGAGAGGGCCCAGACCTCTCTGTGAAACATCAGCTGTCCCCAAACAAAATGGGTCGGGTGGGTCCCTCCCGTGTTGGGTGGCCGTGCTGGAGGACTCGGCGCGAGCCGTGGAAGTAGCGGTGGATGGGGAAGGCAGCGGGAGAGCAGGAGGCTTTGCTGGCGATGGGAGGGGTAGCTGCGAGGTGTTGGTGTGAGTACGCCAGACAGAGGAAATGACTCAGAGACCGAAAGCGATGAGTTTGGTAACGATTGTTACGGGAGAGAGGGCTGAGGACGTGTCGCCCTCGGTACGATTCCCAGCAAAAGCACTTAATTATCGTCTCCGCTTGGCAGGAGCGGCGCGCGGCGCGGGGCCCATTTTAGGGACGGGATGACCCCGCGGAGAGGTGCGGGCTGAGGGTCTGTTCCCCCCGGCGCTTCCCGAGGTGGGCTGTGGGCTGTGCCGGTGCCCGCGGGAGGAGCGGGGCGGGGCGGCCCCCAGCCCCTCGCCGAGCTCCGGCAGCGCCCGCCGAGCGCGCCGCCCTCCCCGCTGATGCAATCGGAGCCCGGCGGCGGCAGCAGACACAGCCGCGGCAGCAGCTCCATCCCCGGCAGCAGCTCTATCCCTGGCAGCAGGAACCCCATCCCCGGCAGCAGGAACCCCATCCCCGGCGGCAGCAGCGGGCGGACCGCCCTGCCCCGAGCCCGCCCAGCGCCGCCGCATCCGCGCCCGGGGCTCGGCGATCCGCCGGCTCCATCCCGCCGAAATCCCGGCAGGAACATCCCCGCCCCGCGCCTGCCAGCATGATAAAGGTAAGCGAAGCGGGTTTCCTGCCGAGATCCCCTCGTCCATCCTTCCGGCGATGCTCAGCTTTTCCTTGGCAAATCGCTGGTTTGGTATTTACAGGTTTTAATGCTCACAAATGTTATTTGTGCTTTGCGAAGGGGGTTTCTGTCCCCGAGAGATTTATTGTTCGAGGTTCAGAAGCAGGATATGTATTATTGTACCTCTTCCCGTGCTGTTTCTTTGCAGACAGCGTGTGTGGAAGAGAAGTAATTGTGTGGAAGAGAAATAATGAGTCGGGATGGAGAGGGGGGGAAGGGAAGGTGTATAATTTCCTCTAGGAGGGGATTTCTTTCTGTTTATTTATAACAGAGGACTCTCAATGATTAAAAAGAAAACAACAAACCAGCAAAACAAACCTGCGAAAAGGGTATGGTGTCCTGGCAGACATCAAGGCTTTCTATGCCTGTGAGTTTATTAAAGGTCTTATGCTTGCCGTTGTACTAAAATAGACTACGGGTAAAACCCAGTAACATGTGCTTAGAGGTTTTGAGTAATTTCACAACTAACTTTAAATGATGGAAGAGGAGTTGTCGGTAGCAAACACTGATGTGGCAGATGAGCATTTGTGGGGACCATCCTTTTATAAATGTCACGTTTATTACGTTCTTCTGCTTAGTGAGGCTGATCTGGGGATTAAAAAGAAGTCTTCCTTGTCAAGGCAAAGGGCACGGAGATAGCACGGCTGCTTTTCAATTAGAGTGAGGGAACATCACAACCACGTTACACCCTGTGGAACAGCTGCACTAAAAATAATTCTTGGGTTTTGAAGAAGGTCTGTGCTGGGCTGACTGTCAACTGCACAGCTGCAGCCTGATGCCAAAGTTAACAGCTGAGGTAAAAAACCAAGACTGAGTTATTTGCTTTCCTTGGGTAACTACAGCAGATGGAATATGGGCACAACAGGTACGTGACTGGCAGGTGTCTCCCCAGCTCCTCTCTGCCGGTGATGGCAAGTGTTACTCACATGTCATCCTAGGGCTCTCCAACATTGCTCTCCCTTGTGTGGCTCTGGCACTGGTGGAGGTGGCACTGATGGTGGTAGGGCTGGGACGGACAAGCCCCTGGAGAAGCCTTGGAAGGGTCCTGTAGCCCCATTTGCACTCTCTGCAGCTGGAGAGGGGCAGAAAATTGGTCTGAATCATCCCCAAGCAGCTCCCACAGCCACAATGCTCAGAATGGAGCATGTCACAGAGTGAGGCAGACTGTGGTGTTCTAGATCACATCTGATGTACCTGTTGTGTGACTGGGAAGGAAGGCATGACCCCGGTCTCTAGGCTGTTGTCCAGCACCTGGCAGGAATGCTCTGGCATGGCCTTACAAAAAAACCAAGTAGCTGGCAAGCCATAGACCAACCAGCCTGTCTGCTCAAAGCAACACTGGCGTCTCATTTGAGTCTTCTCACCTGCACAAACTATTTTTACTGTAGAAAACACAGAGGGAAGCAATAGCTACAGCAGTGAAAGTACACTCTTGCCGCTTGGAAATGATGTGGCCTTGAGCAGGTCAGCTCTGTCTGAGCCCTTTCCCTTTATTTGCCTCCTCTGTTCAGACTGTCTACTCTACTCTGTCACTGTGTGTTTGTAGAGCAAAGGTACAGAAAATTATGATTTGATTTTCATATTTTATGCAAAACCTGATACATTTATAAAAGTATCAGTAGGCAACAGCATTATTACACCTTCTTATCCCTTCATCTCTCTCTTCATCATTTCCTGCATTTAGTCACAACCCTCCATTTTTCCTTGGAACTATTTCCAGCCCAACCACATCCCTCTCTTTCTGTTCTGTTTAAAGTAATGTTATGTTTAAGGAATGAATTATGCCTCTGGTTTCTGCAGCCCTGCCTTGTCCACCTAATGCACTGATTGTTACTGACAGGCCTAGCACTCCTAGCATTGTGTGATCCAGTGGATATGCTGATTTTTCCCAAGGAAATTGAGCACTGAAATCTGCTGCAAAGTCATAGGTAAAAAAGAAGGTTGCAAAGTCATTAGGTAGCTGGCATCTTGCTGAAATAGTCCACAGGCCATATCCCTGGTAGAATTTGACAGGTGAAAATAATTCAAATGGATTTTATTACTCATTAATTTATCCCTGGGACGGTAGTGTTAAGAAAGGAGATAAATCAGTTCATTATTTGTGTAAACACTCAGGTGCTCTGAATTTATTCACCCATTTTAAAACAAATTATTTGATGTGGGCATGCTAAAGAATCAGAACAGACCTTATTTTCATTGCTTCCCTATGCTATGCTATTTTCTTAAATGAATAATCGTAGCTGAATATACAAGGAACCGAAGGTTATTAGTAGGTTTTAGGGCAGGACCTTCAGTGTTAGAATGAAGGAAGTAAGATGTAAATTCTCTCTGCAAAATTTGCATAATCAACCTTCTCAGGCCACACAGGAGGACTGGCACATTCAGCCAGTGACTTGTTACATACTTCGTGGTGCCAGATAAGCCCATCAGAGGCTTCTATGAGTTCAAGGCACTCAGTACTGATGTGGCTTTCGATAATGAATTGTGGCCATCCAGCTGCCACTATCGCTGTAATGGAGAGATTAAATGCCCAACCTTCATTTTAAATTTCTGAGTTTAGGTGGTAGTCGAGCATAAATCAAAGTATTACATGACCCTAATTTGTTATTCATGGTCACTTACATGCTTGCAGCTTGAAACCTCTGATTCTTACATATGGGGGGCCCCATTTACCTTGTAAACAGCTTCATTGCTTTATGACTTTAGACATTAAGGGGGCAGGGGATATTACATCATGAAATAGAGCACCTGTTGCAGAAGGGCAATTTAGCAAGTGTAACCATATGCTGTTGCAGAGGAAAATCCAGTGCCATGCTTATGGGAAGTTCTAATGTTGCCCTTCAGTGTGTGTATCAAATGATACGAAAGTTAAATGAGAGTAGTTGAAACTATCTTTGAAATGACCAAGAAGTTATACTCATCCATTTCTTTGTGCATCTTGGCCCATAGTTTATTACTGGTTTTGCAAGCTAATGTCATAATACCATTCCAGCAGAGTTACTCATTTACTTCCCTAAACAGTGTGTTCCAAGTTTTATTTTAGATTATACCTGAAGCATTAATGAAGGGCAACATACGACTTCTCCGTAGGTACACAGCTGCTGCTAATTCACTTTGCCTATTAGAGCATTTCCCACACAATATTTGATAAAACCACTCCTAGTGAGCACAGAAAATCGATTGTTTTCCTTGGTGTACAAATAGGGTTTAATTCCACAAGGTTCTGGTTGTATTAATTTCCACTAGGATTTGGAGAGATCAGTACCACACAAGTCATGTCCTCTTGTTTAATTTCATTTAGACTGTTGTCTCGATGGTTATCACTTTTGTAATAAATGTTTGCATTTGCATTAACTTTTCCGAGAATGAGCTTTCTTAAAAACATTGACACCGAGAGTCTGAGGGAACTGGGTGTGTTCAGTCTGGAAAAGAGGCTTTGAGGTGATGTAATAGCAGCCTTCCAAAATCTAGAAGAAAATTACCGAGATGGGGCCAGGCTCAGCAGTGATGTATGTTAGGAGCACAAGAGAAAATGGCATAAATTAAAATGTACGAGGCTCAGATTGGATATAACGAAAAAATTCTCCCCACAAGGACAGTCAGGCAAGGGGTTGCCAAGAGAGAATGTGCAGTCTCCATCCCTGGGAATTTCAAGACACAACAGGATAAAGCCTTGAGAAACCTGGTCTGAGCTTAGAGCTGACCTTGCCTTGAGCAGGAGGTTGAACTAAAGACCTCCTGAGGTCCCTTCCAGCCTGGATTTTCCCGTAGTCTTGGAAAAAAAAAGCTTAGAAACCGATTTTTTTTTTTTTAAATCCAGTTTTATTTTTTGTCACAGTGATGTCGACCAGTACATGTTTGTTCTAGCCCTGAATGCTTGGCTTTTAACAAAACTAAGAACTCTGTGCAAGGATGCTCTTTAGAGTCACCACTGTAGGTAGATTTCTTTGCAGAAGGTATTTTCTTTAACGTGCCAGTATAGTAGTAGTATTTTCTTCCCTATTATCTTCAGGAAGTCCAGGTGCTTTACAGAAGAGGTTGAACTTTTTTTCTCATAATTAGGAATACATCCTAACTTTGCTGAACTTTTTTTCTCCTCATGTATTTAAAGAATAATTCTTTAAACGTGAATTACCGTCCCAGTAGGTGCTGTCCATGGAAAAGAAAAAAGGTAGGTCAGAACTCCTAGGGAAATTACTGATATCAAGGGAAAGTTAAGGGGATATCTCAGAGATTCAAACATTGTTATAAAAACACCAACCTTAAGAAAAATGCTGTCTTTTAAAAAAATAACAGCTTCTTTTGGTTTTCGATTGAATTCACCAGGTCTTCTTTTTACTTCTTTTCAATGCAACTGACTGCAAGTAAAATTCAATTCACAGTTAGAATCCTTGCAGCTTCTGCAAAGGTTCTGTCTGGCAGTTTTCACTCCTGTAATGCTTGATGTTAAATGTTCTACATTGTGGAATTTTTCCTTTGATACGTGGGAAATGAAACACTGGAAAAACTATATGAAGCACTGAATAAAAGAGACTTTTTGATTTTATAGAATAGAAAGTTACATCTCAAATGTAATATGTAACCTTACCATAGAAAATTGCTTATTCTACTGTTACAAAATTATGAATTCACAAGGCTTTATCCAACTGCATATTATCATGCAAGTCATTAAAAATCATATAAAGCCCACCTAAAATCAGCCATAATAGTATATTTTCTTTTTTATATCTTATAGTTTCTAGTTAATGTAGAGAGTCTCTTGCTTTCCAATAAAATAAAGGAAATCCTTAACCAAAGCAGTAGGGGAAAGAAAACTTCACAGCAGTAAGACTTGTGATATTCTCAATATATTTATCAGGCTAGCCGTGAAGCAAGTTTCTTACCAGATGTGTGAACAGATTTTATTTCCCTGATTCTAAACTTTGAGG